ATTCGACATCCTGTTTTATTCAGCATTGTACACTGTTATACAGCATTTATTCAATGTGTATGCTTATTTGTGACCGTGAATTGTTTGTTGGGTTATGTGTTATAATGTTATGTTTTAGAGTGTGATCTATATTGGATTGTATTATCATTATCGGCATTCAAAAGTTTTGTTTGCTATCATTACAACACGGAGAATCAAGGTAACTCATAGACTGCGTCAAATTGACTGAATCTCTTTTTTTTTTCGATTGCAAGTTTTACTCACTTTCGTAAAAAGTGGATTTTCTCAAGTTGTGAGTAAATACACTTTTTACGAAAGTGAGTAAAACTTGCAATCGAAAAAGAAAGAGATTCAGTATTTGACTCAACCTGTGAGTTACTTTGATTGTCCGTGAAGAGGTTTTAGAATCAACTGAATTTGTGAACAACAAAAATGCTTGCATTTAATTACTTAACGTCAATCGTTCTATCGCCTGACTTTCAAATAGAACTGATGTGAATATTGCTGAAGAAAGTTAGTTGAGTCATTATGTATGATTGGAATTCAAATAATCGGGTTTGATGTTTTCCAAACAATGCAGTCAATGAAGTCTTTAAAAAATCACGAAAAATTTATTATGTTAATGACGTTTTCGGTTGAAAAACGTGAAAAATTTCAAAGTTCTATTCTTCCTAGTAATAATGGAGGAAGAACATTTTCCGGATGTTTTCGGTTTCATGAGGTATACCACTGTCGATATAATGAGGCAGATTTTCGAAATAATTTTTTCTCTCCTAGGTATTTATGGTAGAGCTACGGTCGTTTTTTTTTTCAGCAATTTCTATTATTTAATTGATTTATTCACAAAATCCTAAATGAATCATGATTAAAGTAACATGTCACTATGGAGTGGATTACTCTGTTGAAATAATCATCCTATATTATTTGTAAATAATATTTGGGCCATTTGTGATGGGAAAATACACCAACATAATTTTGGTCAGGTTTGATACACTAAGTGCTTCACTGTGCAGTATTCTGTACGTCGATATTGGTTTACAAACTTTGTCGTGTAGGGAACGAAACGAAAAGAATGAATCAACTGCCATTCACTTTCGCAACCGAATACTATAGACGGAGAGGCCATCCAAAATCCAACTGCACTTGCAATATCCATGTTATCAAGGCTTTCTTACGTGAACAATGAAACTTTGTTTATATAGAGAGAATGAATCGGCGGGATGACAAAAAATAACATCATCATCATCTATGATTCACCATCCGCCAATTATAAGGGCGCAATCCCCATTACAATCAGGTCCAAGAGATAACCAACCAATTGTTATCAGCTCAAAGTTTGCGTATATAACCCGAGACTTTCACAGGTATGCTCAGAGTAACTTGAACAGTCAATCAAAAAGCAATCAAACCAAGTTAACAGTAATCCAAACATGAACTCCATCGTCTCACTCGCAATGATTGCCGCACTGCTCGGAGCTGGAGCAGTATCCGGTGGTCCAATGTCGATCAGTGACAACAACGTTGGAGACATTGTGACAGTTGGATTAAACTTGGACGTGAAAATTGAAACCGATATCGACACCAACATCGTTAATGTTTTGGTGGCCATATTGACGCAGCTGGGAGACATGAACGCAAACTTGCCTGCTCTTCCAGAAGTACCACAAGTTCCGGATCAATCTGAACAGAAGGTGGCAGTGATTTCAAAGCCATTGGGACAGAAGGCCGTTCATGATGTATCTGTGGATAAATTGCAACAACTGGTGAAGAAACTGATGGCTACGCAACAGTGAGGAGTACATGGAACTATCTGTACAGATTTGACAGCTTTGTACCTGACTATCTATTTAATAAACGTTGAAGTACCGTAAAACGGGGTATCTTTGATAATGCGGGTAATTTTAATAGTAGAATGTAATGATTTACTCTCTGTCTTTCTTCCGAATTGGAAACATTGGTTCCATATTGTAGCTTACGGTATTTCCCTTTACATCGTATATAGTTTTTATATAGTATGTGTCACACGTTTTCCAAACATTTAAAAAAAATGTCCTTGTTTTTTGTCTGTTTGAAAAAGCACTCACACTATCACTTATGAAATGAATTTCCAATATAGCCATCACTAATTCAATTTTTTTTTTTTTTTTTTTTTTTAACTCTCTATTTGTTCCAAATTCAAAATAAATTACATTTCATTTTAACCTAGGTGCTCCAGTTACTGCAGTAACGTACCAGCCTTAATTGTTATGATATATATCTAAGTGTTTTTACATTGTTCATGTCTTGGCAATTCAGTATTTTAAACAGGTTTTTTAACCTGCATGTCAGTATAACAATTGATATCTTAAAACTAAAAACTAAAACTAAATCTTATCTAAGTATAAAGGGAATTAATCGTTGCAATTGAGGATTGCAACGATTTTTGCCTGAAATTATTAATTATTTTGTTGGACATTTGTGCTAAAGTCTCAACATTCGAAATTCTATGTACTTCGGTTGTACTGTACCAGGGAGGCAACTTCAAAATCATTTTCAGAATTTTGTTCTGGATCCTTTGAAGTGCTTTTTTCCTGGTAGTGCAGCAACTAGACCATATTGGCACAGCGTAAAGCATGGCCGGTCTAAAAACTTGTTTAAATATTAGAAGTTTATTCGTCAGGCAAAGTTTGGATTTCCTGTTTATAAGAGGATACAAACATTTTATATATTTGTTACATTTGGCTTGAATGCCCTCAATGTGATCTTTAAAAGTTAATTTTTGGTCAAGTATTAATCCAAGATATTTCACTTGGTTTGACCAGGAAATTGGAACTCCGTTCATAGTGACTATGTGACTACTACTAGGTTTCAAAAACGAAGCTCTAGGCTTATGTGGAAATATTATAAGTTGAGTTTTGGAAGCGTTGGGAGAAATCTTCCATTTTTGTAAATAAGAAGAGAAAATATCTAAACTTTTCTGCAGTCTGCTGCAAATAACACGAAGACTTCTTCCTTTAGCGGAAATGCCTGTGTCATCAGCGAACAAAGATTTGTGGCAACCCTGAGGCAAATCAGGGAGGTCCGAAGTGAAAATGTTATACAATATAGGCCCAAGAATGCTACCCTGAGGAACTCCTGCCCTAACAGGTAGTCGATTAGATTTGGAATTTTGATAATTTACTTGAAGAGTTCTGTCAGTTAAATAATTTTGAACTAATTTCATAATATAAAGTGGAAAATTAAACTTTTTCAATTTAGCAATCAAACCTTCATGCCAAACACTGTCGAATGCTTTTTCTATGTCTAGAAGAGCAACTCCAGTTGAGTGGCCTTCAGATTTGTTTGAACGAATTAAATTGTTAACTCTTAAGAGTTGATGAGTAGTTGAATGCCCATGGCGAAATCCAAACTGCTCATATGCAAAAATTGAGTTCGTATTGATGTGAAGCATCATTCTATTCAAAATTATCTTTTCAAAAAGTTTACTTATTGAAGAAAGCAAACTTATTGGGCGGTAGCTAGAAGCTTCAGCTGGATTTTTATCCGGCTTCAAAATTGGAACAACTTTTGCATTTTTCCATTTATCAGGAAAGTATGCCAAATGGAAACATCTGTTAAATAATTTTACCAAGAAAGACAAGGTACTCTCTGGGAGTTTTTTGATGAGGATATAGAAAATTCCATCATCACCTGGAGCTTTCATATTTTGAAAATTTTTAGTTATAGACCTTACTTCGTCCAAATCAGTCCCCCAGGAATCATCAAAAATATTTTCCCGAGAGAAAATATTCAGAAAATCCCGAGCAACCTGATTCTCAATAGGACTAGTAAGACCCAAACTGGAATTATGGGAACTCTCGAATTGCTTAGCAAGTTTCTGAGCTTTTTCCAAATTTGTGATCAAAATTTTACCACCTTCTTTAAGCGCTGGAATAGGCTTTTGAGGTTTTTTCAAATTTTTTGTGAGTTTCCAAAAGGGTTTGGAACTCGGGTCTAATTTAGAAATATTATTTTCAAAAGTTTTGTTCCTCAGGGCAGAGAATCGCTTTTTAATTTGTTTTTGCAAATCCCGCCAGATAACTTTCATGGCAAGATCGCGTGTTCTTTGATATTGTCTCCTACGGACATTTTTAAGACGGATCAAGATCACTAATTCAATGTTGCTTTCTTATTGCTTATTATGTTTTCTGATTACATACTCATTCAAAGTTTCATATTTCTTGAACTAAGTTGATTGAGTTGCACGCAGGTTTTTCTAGATTCATAGAGCATTATCAAAGTAACCCCAAATCAAAATACTGATGTTCGGTCGCAAGACTAAAAAAATATGATTATGTCATCATTTTTACAAAGCTAACAACATAGCTCTAAATTTAATTTTCATTCATATGGCTATATCTATTTTATAGAATATGTTTGTATTGTGTTCGTGTTCGTGTGCGATTAAAATATAGACGGATAAACAATTTTTATCATTATGATAGTGTTAGTGGTGCCGGTGGTGTAGTGGTAAGCGTGATTACCTCTCACCCCAGCAGACCTGGGTTCAATCCCAGTCGGCACCGCCGGGATGTTCTGAGACATAACATCTCTAAAGCCGTTGGTCCCCGGTTCATGAGTTGATGGGTCGATAAGTAGGGTCCAGGTGTAGGAGCTTCCTCCCTCGTTAGAAGCATTGGTGCTCAGAACGGAAAACAAGATCGACGGAAAACAAATCAAGGAAAAAAAATATAATGGTGGAGGATTCTAAAGGTACCGATTATCTATTATCTATTGAAAGCTTGTCATTATACGAGCTGGTTATTCACACAGTATTTTACTGCTGAGATTATTTAAAAAAAAATTGAAAATAACAATATCGAGAAATGATCAAAACCGGCAATTTCAGGCAATAATTATTTAATTGCATTCGAAACTGTTTCGCTTTCTGGAGTGCAGCATCGTTTTACAACCATCTGATAATATATTGTATACCAATCTATCCCCAATTAATCGATCTCCTGCTATCTCACTCAAAACAGGCCATCGATTAGAGCGTGACGTTGAGACAGGTGGTCTGACGACACGCCACCACCGCAAAGCCATGCAGATACAGAAGGGCGCCGCCGAGAGGGGTCTCGACGATCTCTCCAACTCGAACATCCTGCTGACGCCAACCAGCAGCGAAGTGGTGACTCCGACGACTCCGTCCGGAGGTAAGTTCATATTGGTGTTCCTTTTTTCCTTCAAATTCGAGTACTCTATTTCATCTCAACTTTCAGTCTCTGTACGACTTATTAGGCAGTTTCGATCCTAGATAGAATCACCCATCCACATTAAAATATCATTAGACTCATTCAATTTTTGTTTTTAATTTAAAAATTCTAATCAACACACCTTCACAGCATCTAACATGAGTGAATTTCATTCGCTTTTTATATAATTTATAATTAATGATTTTTTTCTGTCTTCTTACTATGAAAAGTATTTGAAAACATCAAGATCAACGGTATTTTCTCCTCTTAACTAAATAGCACTTAACAAGTAACATACATTCGCCTATCCTAACTGGAATAAAGAAGCTAATGTTTACAAGCCTCGACAGCAGATCGCTTAAGAGTGCTTGGAATTACTTGGCCTTTACCCTATATAATGGCACTTCCTATCCTGGCATCGCTTGACACTCTTCTGCCTATCGCTCATAAAAATACCCTTGCTTCATTCTCATGCACTTTCTGCCCGCATGTTACTCCTTTAAATCACACGTGTTGGTTTGATAGAGCTCCACGGTTCCACCCAAATCCATGGTGTATGTGTGTTCAACTGCAAATATGTGCCGGCGGAAGTGTATACAGCTACACTACTGTTTCTCCACATACACGGATGTGTCGCTCTTGAAGTTTGCGAATGGATAAAGGGATAACCTGGACTTATCTATATAATGGTCAATCAATTATTTTAATATCCACCGAACAAAGTGGCATGTAGTCGTAAATATTTGGTTAACAGGGTAGATCTTCTGTAGCTTTATGCGATTATTTTATGATCCAAAAAGACGATAGCTCTGATATAACTCATAGAGAAGACATTCCATGAGTGTTGACTATTTACTGGAACTTATTAAGAAGTTTACCGCGCCGCAGAATTTTTTGTTATAGTTAGCAGCTATTTAGGCTCCACTAAGACCTCACATACTGACATCTGACCATGTGCCTATGCAAATTAGGATTGTTTCAAAATTCAACACGGCCTACCGTAACATAATAAACAGAGCTGGTAAATATCACGGCCGTCATGTGACAATGAGACGAAACTACCTATCATAAGCTTTATTGTCATTTTTCAATGTTCATGCACTCATGAGAATAATTTCCATCCGGTTTTGGAATCAAAATTTCTAGCTTATTTAGATGAATTTAGGCAAGCAACAGAATGTAATCTGTTGAGTGAATATATTCTTAAGATTGTCGTGGTGCATATAACAATAATACCAATAAATGAGTTAATAATTGCAATGATCCCCAACAGTGTCACGTTGTGTCATGACAAAAACATCGATGAGATTTGGAAGAAAATCTCTATCGTTGTTTCCTCATCCGATGATAGTGACAGAAGTAACTCTGTAAATATCGTGCGAGATCGTTCATTGAAAAAGACATTTGCCAGCCCTGATAATAAAGCTTGTTTCATTGTCATAACATATACAATGATAACTACGTATAGATTAGTAGAGTTGAAAAAATAGCAATATTAAATAAATTTTAAAATCTCCATTCAAAACTGATTTTCAAAATGATGCCCCCCATTATGAAACACTCTGTTGTTGAATTTTAAATTGAATCGTGTGAGCTTCAATGTTGTACAAATAATTCATGCAAAAACCATTGGAAACATATGCTTTATCGATGCAACCTTATAAACCACGGTGCATCAAATATTTAAATTGAGAGATTTCCAATTTACGTTATGAACTCCATAATTTCATTTCATTGGTATCCCTTTAGCACAATAATACAATAACACTCCATCCTCAAAAAAAAAGTCAATAATCCCATAGAGGGAAAACTATTGTATTTGCACAGTCCATCGGAAACCAGATAGGGCACCAAACCCATAGAACACATCCCGAAACCCATGGGACAGCATATGGGACGTGTCACAACAGAAACCCCTTTTTTGGGTGACCGGATGAATCATCTGTCGTTCGCATCAACAAATGTAAGTCTATCTAAAGCTCCCTGAGTGTGCACTATCCTCGACAAATTCGTGTATTGGACGTTTGCATTGTGTGAGTCTGTCTCGAAGGGAGTTGAATCGTTGTATGTAATTTGATACAATTCGGATCCGAACGACACTGAACTTACCATTTGGTTGTTTATAATGGCAATATTTGTATAGGAACACCATTTTTCAGAGATCCCGAAGAGAGGGATTTGAGGGAGGAAAAAAATAACCCATAGACTCAAGATTGTGCGATCGATGAATTTGCGTTATTCGCAATGTTTGAGATTTTGGCAGACTTTTATCATTAATGAATTGTTTCCGAAAAAGTTCATCTCTCGAATGAAACTAAGCTTTCAATAATCATAAAAACATTGCTTTTGAGCCTTACCAAAATAAACGAATTGAAATTTATAAAACATTGCTGAACTTTGCTCTTTGTCATCCTTGGCAGATCGCCCTCACTTCCTCATTTGAAATGCTTAATAAAATAATGTCATCATATACCCAACTAAAAGAGCAACAACCTTCATTTCTTCGTGCTAAAACAAGGTGCCAAATTAACGTCAAAAGCTTTTAATTCAAACGAGTCCATTTTTAAATTAGCATTCACCGCTCACGAGCTTATGATGAGGGAAGACCCACCATGCTGAAAATTGGCTCATTTTCAATTACAGTGGCTGTCTGAGTTTGAATTCGCCCCCCCCCCATTTATGTAGCTCGTATCATTTACACTCACCTGCTTCACCTCTCACCTCTACCAAATGAAAGCATGCTCTTGCTTAGCCAAATGGAAGTCTCGCGTTCGCTATATGATTAGGGTGACCCAAAAATGGTTAATTCCAAGGTAAACAATAATTATGTTATTCGGAGATGAACTAGCCTACGGCTAAAAATCTCCTAACTAAAGAAGAAAAAAATTATGTTATTCTAACTAGAGTATTCCAATTCTCAATTTATAGAAAATCAAATCTTGGATTTGAATGACTCATCAAAATAAGATGTTCGTTTAGAATATCCATCAGTCGGTGCCGGTGGTGTAGTGGTAAGAGTAACTGCTTTCTAACACCCCAATGGGTCTGGGTTCAATCCCAGCCGAGGTCGGTGGGATTTTTTGAGGCATAAAAATCTCTGGTCACGTATTCCTTCGGAAGGGAAGTAAAGCCGTTGGTCCCGGCCCATGTGTGTTGAATGGGTGCGTTATCCTACACAGGTGTGGAGGCTGCCTTCCTGCACATTCCATTGCCGTCAATGTATGGTAATCGATGTCCGTCGGTGATTGGCACTAGATTGCGGAATAGAGACCGACGTTAAATAAAGGAATGAAGAAGTTTTTTGAAAGTGGAAGAAATCACTCTAGAAATTCTCTATAGAAATCTCTTGGGATTCACTCTACAACTATTTTCAGATTAGCTATGCAATAACCTATTTAGAAATTTCCTAGAATTCCCTTCCGAATTCCTCTGGAAATGTCCTAGAGATTCTCCATAAAGTTCCATGTGTGCCTCTATAAATTCTTTAAAATATAGTCAAATGTAGTTAAATGTCTTTAGAATACTCGCAAAATATCCACGAAGTTCAAATTTTCCATAATAATTCCCATATAAACTCCTAGGGATCAGTACAGTTTCAATACCGTAAAAATACAAAATATCAAAATAATATAATAATTCCGATACATATTGTCTTATGTGAAATGAGCATTTGCAACCTTGACATTGAGAATATGCACATTTAAGCTCGATAAACTTCATTCTAGGAAATCATTCAATATTGTTCCATAAGGAAAAGACTGATTAATTTTTCATAAAATCATTCAATGATATTTATTGATTAATTAAGAACAATACAAAATACCATAATAAATTAATAGTTAAGTTTGATTCATAAAAAGAAAAATATACTGAACTGAGGTTCAAATAACTTGATGTCATATTGTTTTACCTATTCCAATCATTACTTAACAAAAAATTATGTCATAGATTCTTAAGTAACCATCTGAATAATTGACTTTAACATTAACATTTTAAACATTAAGTATTTTTTGGTTCACCCTATTCTCCTGACACATTTTAAACTAGCCCCACCGCCACAAATGGTTCCATTCAAGCCACCTCGCCACATTTCCACCCTCAGCCGAAAATAGCACTCATCAAAAAATAAAATAAAAACACCAAACCAAGACAGCTACATAGCTTCATTTGTCGAACTGCTTTGCCATTCATCTGCTACGGTTTGTTGCGCTTTGAAAAAAACGGAAAGTTCGCCTCTTCCTATCCACATCTTTTACCACATAGATACATCTTAAGGATAACATTTGTCTTTAAGGTGTTTCACCAATCCGATGTTTCATTGATACTTCAATCTTTCATTTCCATTCTTCTTTCTTCCCACATTTTGTTGCGTTTACAAATGTAATGCGTCCACCGATCCAACATTTCTAACGCAACATGCATATCGTTATTGAATCCCATCATCAAAACAAACCTTCGGATAAAAGGATATGCGTTGTAAAGCCCACAACCTGCATCCATCACAGTAGATCCCATTTTTCAATACAGCCGTAAATCGGAAAAATCAGGCAAGTCGCTTTCCCCACATTCACTCCCCAGTTTGGAGATTTGTCTGAAAGTTTGATGTTGTTTTAATTGAACTGTGATGCCCGTTGATTTTTGTTCGTTTCGTGTTTTGGTATATCTCTGTCTGGTCTGTCTGAGTATAAGGCAAAACTCAATCCAACTCCCGCTTCCATTCGTTGTATTTCTGTGTACCTTTGTGTATGTTCATTCGTACCCCTTTTCCAATTATGTCCTCACACACACTCACACACACACACACCATCGTGACACACCTTTTATATTAGATTTCCGGATTTTGCATCGAAAACAGAAACACAACAAAACAAGCAGATCTCATGCGTCATCATCCAATACCTTGAAGGAGAGGGAACAAATATTCCGCTGACCGAATATTAGATTAAGAGCTTTTGCCATTT